GAACTGGCGCTGTACCCTGCCTCCCGCCCATAAGCGAGGCCGCTGAGCAACTGTAAGTCTCCCGCCTTGATCGCGCGCTCGCTCTCTGCGGCGCACTGCCACGCTCATTAGACTCTACCTGCTCAAGGCGGCTAGGAGCTGGCCGCCGCCTGCAGTGCAGGCTACCGGTAGTGCTGTCCTGCCGTCCTCCCTTTCGGTCGTTGGAGCTGCTCCCGCATTCTTGACGTGTTTTCCCTCTCTTCCCACGTCCTGCTGGCCCGCCGTGTCTCCGCGCTCCAGCTAGTCAGTCCCTTGTTCGTCCGCTCGCCTGCTCGCCTGCTCGCCCGCCCAGCGCGCCTAGCGACGAGCCTGCGCCCGCCGCTCTCTCGCCAACGCGTTGCTAATCTATCCCGCCTAGTGCACGACTGCAGGTCAACTTGCAGACTGGCGTCGAACCGAGGCCCCCCCCTGGCGCTTTTAGCTTCATCTGGCGGCCCTCACGCCTCGCCAACAACATATCCCAGTCTCTACCCGTCTCTCCTCCATCTGCTGCTGCTTCTAGCGAGACACGGCTGCGTGCGCTCAGAAGTCAACCGCCAGTCCGTGTCGCGCCCCGGTGGCCTCGTCCATTGGCAGCCCATGTCACACGAGTCTTCCTACCAGTTCAACTCTGCGCCATATTCGCCCGCCCCATCGCACTTTTCGCAATCCAGCATGGCCGACCCAAACGTCCAGCAGTCGCGACAGCAGGCCGTGGCCTATCCCTCACCGCACTCGTACCCGTCGCCCTCGATGCAGCCTACATACACGTACCCGCCGCCCCAGGGACAGCAGAGCAACGAGCCGTACCGCGGCTCACCCCAGGGCTCCAACATGTCGCTGCCTCCGCTGAACCTGCCGCCAATACGCCTGCAAGATGGACAGCAACCGCCGCCGCAGCCGCAACCACCACAGCAGCCCATGGGCTCACCGCTTCCACCGCCGCAGCACGGAATGCCGCAGTATTATCCTCATCCTGCGCATGCGCAGCCCGGTCAGCCGATGAATATGGGCAACATGGGCCCTGCGCAGTTCAATGCGATGCGATACCAGCTCCCGCCCCAGGGAGCTGACCAGCGCGTCTTGTCCGGCGGTCGTCACAAGAAGGAGATTAAGCGTCGCACCAAGACTGGATGTCTGACATGTCGCAAGAGGAGAATAAAAGTAAGCGCGGAGTTCAATGGCATGCGATTGGCAGGCGCGATGGTGACGCGCGAGGCGAGGGTTGCGGTTTGTCCGCTCTCTTAACCGAGCCACCATGAAGCGAGCCAAACTCTCTCTAATCCAACCTCTCACCCTACTTTGCACACGCGCTAACCACACTACCAATATAGTGCGACGAGGCCCACCCTATGTGTAGGAATTGCCAAAAGAGCAAGCGAGAGTGTCTTGGCTACGATCCCATCTTCAAGCAGCAGTCCGGCCCAGCCCAGATACAACCTGCCCCCAACTCTGCGCCAGCCCAGCACTCGACGACTCCTGCACCTGCATCCGCTCCACCAGCCCCTGCTACATACAGCCAAAGTCCCGTACCCCAAGGGTACGCGCCTGCTTCGTCCGCAGGATTCGCGCCTGCCGCCTCTGCTACGAGTGCAGGCCATCAGCCAGAGAATTTCAACGCTATTGACCCTGCACTTGCGCAGTCAGGCTCAGGTATGCATTCACAACCACCACCTTATAACGGTGTGCACGCAATGGATCCCGCAATGAGGGCACCACCAGGTGCCAACTACCCACCAGCACCCCCGCCCGAGCCAGTAAAAGGTTAATACTGCAATCCTCAGTCTGTTGTCGATGCTAATCTGGCTTCCAGGCAAGCGACTGAACATCGCTGACATCTATGGCATCTGCAACCACAGTCCTCCAGAGGTGCCTCAGCGCAGTGCGCCCGTACCTCCTGGCCTCGATGAAGAATTCACGCAGATATTCGTCAACGACTACTGCCAAGGACTCGACGTTATGCTGCAAACCACATGGTTTTCCTCGAACAATAATGCGCTAAATAGAGTGTTTGCCGACAGGACTCTACATGAGGAAGCTGCCTTCTTCACCGAAACGATCAAGTATAAATCCTCAAATACTGACATGACTGGGGTCTTCAGCCAAGAAGCTCGGTTGATATGGCATTTGCTGGGTAGCTGCAAGCACACACCACCAATCACCAATGGAACCAACGGGCCCGCGAATGGTTTTGCTGAGAGCGAAGATCTCGCGCTGAGAGAAGTCCGCGCACGATTCGACGTTCTAGAGGCACTTTTGACCAATCAAAACATGGAGTCAAATCCTCTACGTCAGCTATCCTACCCTGCAGACATCCAGGACACGAAGAGAGCAGAGGTCGACTTCTGGCAGTCCCTGGGCGACTTTGCCCAGTACTCTGACTCTGAGACTGCACCACCCGGTGCTGCGGACCACGCTCTTGCGACCATGCGCAATGTTCTACATATGCAGGAGGTCCGCGATGCCATATATTCGATTGCCATTGCTCGTCACTACGGCAGCCGGCTTAGCGGTTTCCCAAATGCATTGCCGAGTGCAGTCAATCAGCACGCGGAGAGCGATTTGAACAAATTGCTTGTTGCAATGTCGTTCATTAGTCACGAAAGTCGGTCAGCCACGCAGCAAGTCCTTGCGCGTATCTGCGACATGGCTATGCTTTCGTGGACTGTGTCAAGAACTCCATAGTGTGGGACCTTGAGTGTATTTCTATACACCTCCAGTGATAATTCGGCGTCCATCCTGGCTTATGAGGTGGACCCTGGGGGGTGTGAGGGTATGTAGGATGGACGCCTTTGCGATATCGTACATGAACTCAGAGTCAACTGTACTATTTTGTTTTCGGAAAAATTTGCTGTTTTCCTCACCATTTGCATGATTGAGCGGGCGTTACATTTCTCTCGCCTGGGCTCTTTCCTTACAATCGTTCATGAGTATATTGTCCACATTGCCTCTGTACACCTCCGCGTTACACTTTTTTGAGCTTTTTATTCTTCCCTCTCGCCGCTTGGGCAACTCTGCATCTAGCGCGTGGAGCTGGTGGTAACGACAGCATTTTGGGCAGGCATCACAAGATATACCCGGTTCGACTCGACTCCGTCTTGCGTTACTTTCTGTCTCTATACAGAGACAACCTAATCTGTATTCTTCATGGGGCTGTTGAAGATGATATTGATATTCACGACATGATTTAACACGAGCCGCGATGGGTTGATGGACTCGAAATGAAGCAGTATTGATCAATATTTTCTACTTTCCTTTCCACGTTGGGAATGTCTATATGCTACCCTCATGCTTCGCCCGGCTCTTCTGCCAACATGAATGCTTATCCGCTCTCAGCAGGCTCCTTCGCTTATACACCTAGTCATGAGCACTCAACAGGTCGCAACAACAATCGACCCAGGGCTCCTATACGATTCAACTCCATGTACGACACTGATGGTTTCAGCTTCTCCTCCACCCGCGAAGCTATTGTCACTGGGTATACCGTGGGCCTGGTAACTACTAAAATGTATAGGCACCGAGAGAACGCTCAGGATCGACCAGTATCAGGCGATCCATCCGCGTCCAAGCAGATCTCGGTATCGGCTTCTCTAGCTTTGTAGTACAAGGACGTCATCTGGTAGCACGACGGGGTCCAGGGCAGTGGACGACTGTTCAAACAATCCCCCTTTCCAGGACCCAAGTTTGATTAGAGGCGGTAATCCAACCCAAATCACTCTGTACTCGCCTTTTCAGATTAATTAAGGGATCGCTAAATGCAATGGTGGAGCGAAGCTCACCGCCACTCTAGTGTCACTGGGAGGCGAAGATGCAATCCAATCCAGCCCATCTTGGGGAAAAGTTTGGACACCTATGCAGCACCTCATCAGATATGCGCACAGTGTCTAAACTGCTGGAGTAGCCTTCTCACGATTCTCCAGGTTTTCACCGACCAGTCTCCACGCAATCTATCCAAGACAAACAGACAGCAGGAACCGAGGTACATAAACGTAACAACGCACCACACGGCGCCGCACAAAATAAACGGTCGGAGAATTTCCACTGCACCGGAACAGCCGCAGCGTTAGCCCAACATATGCCGTACTTTCCTACTTACCTACTCACTTTACACAAGCCTTAAGCCCCGTCAAGCGAGTGCCCACTCAAGCCCCCGCCTTCGCCGTTCTCGTGAGACATAGCCCGAAGACGCGAACATGCGGTCTGTGTGTCCCGACACAAGGCTCCACGAACAGACGCCGAACTCCTTCGGCTCATCTCCGAAATATGCTGTGCGAGCTTTGAAGGACTGAGACATGGCGGCGGCTTGGGCGTAACTAGGCATGATTGGATGACTGGGGGGCGTTTTGGTGGCTTGCTAGGGAACAGGAGGGAGGGAGGGGACACGGCATATGCAATGTTGATCTTGGTAGTGTCACGAAGGTCCGAAATGGGGGTTGACAACTCCGAAGGTGCCGAATACGAATCTGGATGCGGTAGGTGCCGTTTTATGATGTGCGGGTTGGATGTGAGGTGGGAACTGGATGGTAAAAGTGTAAGCAGGGTTGTAATAGAGGCGGACAGATGAGTTTCAAGTCACTTAGAATATCGGCCAACTTTGTGGCAAAAATGCACCTATGGAGGGAGTCTGACTCGTTAGTATACTACTGTGGATATGGAGTACCTTTGTACAACAATATTGCCATGATGGAGGTTGAAGCGAACAATTCGACTACACTATAATATCTGATATTCGATAGACCGAACTTCTTCTTTAGTGCATGCATGAAGAGAGTGGAGATGGCCGATATACCATAGCTCTGTCCCCACATCGACTACACCCCAAAAAAATCTTCCATGTCCCTCCCCGCCAAATCAACGATACCCCTGTCCTGTCCAACAAAACCAATTCCCTCCTTCCTGCCCCTATTTCTTTCCTCCCGCAATTCTCTAAGTATATAATCTCTCCAAAATCCAAATTATGTCATCTTCGCCAAGACAAGAACGGTCGATTAGCTCAGTTGGTTTAGAGCGTGGTGCTAATACCTACCTAGCCTCATCTACCCGATGCCTGCTAGTTAGAATACGCCAAGGTCGCGAGTTCGACCCTCGTATTGACCATGTCTTTTTTTGGGCGCCTATGCCTCCTTCGCCCCTCCATGGCAGGATGGCAGGCAGGTAGGTGGAGGAAGAAGAGAGACAATGTTGTGGCGGGGATATATCTTTTTGTTTGTGGCTTGGGTGGAAGTGGTCGTCGTTGCCGTAGTTGTTGTATCTACCGTGTTAGCCTCTTTGAGATACTAGGTTAGCACGAGTTGCTATTGCCTTCGCTTTGACATGTGTGGTGTTGGGACCTGGTATGGAGGAACAAGTAATGGAAAAGCTCGGACGGCAGGTCACTAGGAAGGTTCTGGCAAACAGCAAACACTTAACAACTGGTCTGATGTTGATTTCTGTATCAAGTTGGAAATTTAGTACTAGTGGATATCTCTGTGGATGCGATACAGCAGGTATCGGTCAACCATAACGCCACCCAATGCAAATGTCACATCCGATAGATGAATCCCGCATGAGCGCCATGAATGCTTCGTCCTTCGCCGGTCCTCGTTATCGCCAGGTAGGAAATGGCGTCCTAAGCGTCCGTCTTTGGCCTCTTGTTCGGCAACGCAGGGACCTTGAAACCTCCTGCATCCACCTTGCCATTAAGCTGTGTGAAAGAACCGCCCTTGAACCATCGATCCTCGTCCGCCTTCCTCTTTCGCTGCATCTCTTCTCTCTTCTTCGGGTCTACAAGCTCCAGACCCTGGACTGGTGTGAACGCGATCGAACTGGTTCCTGCACCACCAAGGCCCACACCACCAGTCCTTAGGCCCTGAGCGCGCAGACTCGTCGCTGTGCCACCCGCGCCAAAGCCCTTGATCGACGAGGCAGCACCAAGAGTCGTATCGCCGCCCCATCCAGGATTCTTTTTGGAGAGCTTTGCGCGCGTCTTCGGGTCGATCTGTTGTGCACGAAGACGACCAGTGTCCGTGGCACCAATCATTCCCATTCCCTTGACTGAGTCGCCGTAGCCGACTTCCTTCTCCTCTTTGCCAAACGCCATACGATTCTGTGCCTTGCGGATTTCGGTCATGGCTGTAGCTTCTTTTGCTTTACGGGCCCTTCTTCCACCGCGTTTCCGGGAAGGCTTATCATCTGGAGCTGGCAAGGCGCGTGTACCTATAATTGTTAGTATAGTGAGCTCACTTAGCTTGGGCCTAGGGAAGTAAGGCTGAGCATACCTTGATTCTTGGGCACCTCCGTGAGTTTATCAAGACGACGCTCACAGTCGTTCTTGAGCCCCAGGCCGGTTGATCCGTCGGGTGAGGAATGAACCATATCGACGCGGGCAGCAAGAATGACTTTGTTGGACACGATGCGCATACCCTGTTTCTTGAGATCGTCGCGAATGGTTTGGAGGATAGGGCTGTTATAAAGAAAACCACGGTGACGGACGCCGCCGACATTCGTCGCAAGTCCGAGGCCACTAGCTTTATTAGAGCCTAGGGGTGCGATATTGCACGCTGGTGTCTTCGCAAGACCGCCTAGTCCACCGCAAACATTTATTAGCTGCGCAGCAGTCAAGGAGCCCACGAGAGCGGTCAGGTTTGGCGCAAAGACATCCATGCGAGACTAGTCAGGGTTAGTTATGAGCATGGTGATAACGGCGTCTCTTATCTAGGGAGGTCATACCTGTACGTATGCGGTCAGAGTGCCCTTTGCCTTGTCGAGATTCAACAGCAGCTGGCAAGCGTCTACGATGGCTTGTAGCTCCACATCAGCCAAGTCACGGCCCTCCGCTCGCGTGGCTTCAACAGTGACGACCATGAGTGACGGGGCATCCAATATGCTCTTGAGCGGCGCTCCGACGATGTTGTCCGCATGTTGAGCAATATTTTTGATGTCTGATAAAGGTCCGTTCTTTATGATGGCGACCGTCTTGGCATAGGATACTGGATTCCTCACGAGTTCCTCCAGATATGGAAACCTGGCGGAATAGTGGTCGCGGATGAATTTGTGTACTGCTTGAATCTCGCCGTCGATCTGGGTCGAAAACTCATTCGCTCGGGTCAAGAGAGTATATTCCGGGTTGTCCTCCTAAATTTCGAGTTACGAAGTCAGTCTATGCCCCATACGCAGTTCGTACAAGGATGGTACTCACGATAGACTCGCCATCCATGACTTCTTCCATGCGATCCTTGACCTCGTCAATCTCCTCGAGGACTGGCTTCAGGTGGGCCATCAGGCTCTGTGCACCTCGAATGTCTGCCGGGCCCTTTTTGTTCTTGCCGTGCTCTGCCGCATATTCTGCCTCTTCATCAACCATGGCGTCGTCGCCATCACCATCAACCTCTGGAGCCTCGTCTCCTTGGGCAAAGTCGTTTTCAAGATCATCAACATCTTCATCGCCAGAGTCGGCGAAATCCGCCATAAGCTCCTGCTCGAGCGTCGCCATATTGAAGGCTTGTTACTGCTGGGTAAGGAGCGTGGGGTTGCTGCGTGTAGCAAGGTGAGGCGCGAAAAGCAGTGCTTAGGTAGATTCGCAACGGCGGCCGGAGGTTGCGCCTCCTAGCAGTCTTTGGCTAAGTGCTGGATCCAGTAGGCACAGTCGTGGACGTACCTTGTGCCTGAGTGGGCCGCCGAGGTGGTGTGCGGGTGGTCGAGCGAAGTCGTCAGAATTAGCAAGTCGTATTTGGTAGTCGCAGTCGCAGTCGCAGTCGCAGTCGCAGTCGCGGTGACGTGCAAGTGCAGGGCTTGGCGTGGAGAAATACTGCCGGGCGGTGAGACCCGTGTACTTTCGTGCCTCAAGCACCCCAAGCTTTGCGCAACTTCGCGACAACTTCTCCCCACCACCGACGAGGCGCAACACGCCTTCTTTTCTCGCGCGTCGTGCACGCTACACACGTCGGCACGGCAAGGTTCCTCTAGAGAACGCAGCCGCCGATACGCTTCCTCCCTCCCCGGCGTCACACGCCCTACTAACTCCGCGACTGCGACTCACCCACACACACTGCAGTCGCTACACCCATAACCGTCACCATGGAGGCAAGGGGCCCCCCAAGAGTGAAGAACAAGGCCGCGGCCCCAGTGCAGATCTCAGCCGGTAACCCAACCAGCGATGCAGCCATGTGATTAATCCTGAGACTAACGAGGAAACAGAGCAATTGCTACGGGAAGCCGTCGACAGGCAAGATGACAAGGTTAAAGCCCCCACGCAGCGTTTTGCGGACCTCGAGGAGTTGCACGAGCATCAAGGCAGGAAGCGAAAGGAATTTGAGGACTATGTCCGCCGCAACAGGATTAACATGAACAACTGTGCGTAACGTCCATCTACAAACTGCATGCGAGACATACACTGACCTCATATCAAGGGATGCGATATGCGCAGTGGGAACTGGATCAAAAAGAGTTCCGCCGCGCCCGCAGCGTCTTCGAGCGAGCGCTAGACGTCGACAGCACCAGCGTCGCCCTATGGCTTCGTTACATTGAAGCGGAGATGAAGACTCGAAACATCAACCACGCTCGTAATCTCCTTGATCGCGCCGTCACCATTCTCCCGCGAGTCGATAAGCTATGGTACAAATATGTTTATATGGAGGAGACACTCGGGTATGGATACAATGTCCGAACTAGCCGAGACAAGATACTGACTCTACTTTGCAGCAACATTGATGGCGCTCGAGCAGTGTTTGAGCGATGGATGCAGTGGGAACCAGAAGATGCCGCCTGGTCATCTTACATCAAGCTGGAGACGAGACACGGCGAGTTCGAACGCGCTAGAGCCATCTTCGAGCGCTTCACTATTGTTCACCCAGAAGCGAAGAACTGGATCAAATGGTGAGTAATGTTGCTGTACGAACCGCCTTCGAGACGTACACTGACTTTCCTACAGGGCCAAATTTGAGGAAGAACACGGCACTTCCGATTCTGTTCGAGAAATCTATGGAGCTGCAGCTGAGGCCCTCGGCGATGATTTTGCGGATGAGAGGATCTTCATCTTATACGCCAGGTTCGAAGCCAGATTGCAAGAGTTCGAACGCGCCAGGGCAATATATCGCTTCGCTTTGGACCGCATGCCACGCTCGAAATCGGCAAATCTTCACGCCGATTTTACCAAGTTCGAGAAGGCGTACGGTGACAAGGACGGCATTGAGGACGTCATCTTATCAAAACGCAGAGTACACTACGAGGAGCAGGTCAAGGAAAATTCCAAGAATTACGACGCCTGGATCGATTTCGCGCGACTTGAGGAGACCTTAGGAAACCCAGATCGTGTGCGAGAAGTTTACGAGCGCGCTATAGCACAAATACCACCAACGCAGGAGAAGCGCCACTGGAGGAGATACATATATCTATGGCTCTTCTATGCAGTGTGGGAAGAGACTGTGTCCGGAGACCTTGCGAGAACTCGACAGATATATGAGGAATGTATCCGGCTCATCCCTCACAAGCGCTTCACGTTCGCCAAAGTGTGGCTGCAGTACGCTCACTTTGAGGTCCGCCAACGTCAAATTACTCCCGCGAGGAAGCTTCTCGGCCAGTCGATCGGTCTGTGTCCAAAAGACAAGCTATTCAGAGGCTACATTGAGCTGGAGATGAAGTTGTATGAATTCTCGCGGTGTAGAAAGCTCTATCCCAAGTGGATTGAATTCAACCTCGGCTCAAATTGCCAAACCTGGATCAAATTCGCTGAACTCGAGATCGGCCTCGATGACCTCGACCGCGCGCGCGCAATCTTCGAACTCGCCATCAAGCAGGAACTCGACATGCCCGAACTTGTATGGAAATCATATATCGATTTCGAGGAAGGCGAGGGCGAGTACGAGCGCACTCGAGCGCTATACGAGCGCCTCCTACAGAAGACCAACCACGTCAAAGTCTGGCTGGCATGGGCCAAATTCGAAATGTCCATTCCAGAAGAAGACGACGCAAATGACAAGGACGACGACGACGAAGATGAAGGCCGCGCCATCACCGACGCCGCGAAGACCCGGGCACGCGCGGTATTCGAGCGCGCCCACACACGTGCTAAAGAGAAGGACCTCAAGGAAGATCGAGTCGCAATCCTCAATGCATGGCGC